TATTCTAACGTCGCGGAACAAACAAGCCAGCCAATATTCCAAAGACAATATCAAACGGTACCAATAAGTAGAAATTATACACGCCGACAATCAGGAGGAAAAACAAAGAGGACCCTCTTCGCCGATTAACAAACAAAATCGACGAACAAGACTTCGGGAAATACTCGGGGCCGGTTGTTCATTCGCGTGGTGTAAATATTTGCTCGGAAGCAAATCGGTGAAGAGCACGGGGGCGCGTTGCGGCCTCGATTTCATCGGGGGCGGCGGAATCGATTGAATGGCCTCCGCTAAAAACCCTTTTCACGTCGAGAATCTTTTGTCCCAAAATTGCAATATTTTCACAGTTTTTTAAGCATAGATCCAGGAACAAAACAAACAATAAATTTATTACTTCTTGGTAATTTCTATCCAGGGATATACCGATGAATTCAAAGAGTAGACGAATTGTTTTATGTAGACGGGTTTGGTCACTCGTTATGGTCCGCAATCAGTTGCCAGCCGCAACTGGTCAATCCTTTACACTCCAAACGATTTTTCAATTATTATTATTATTATTATTATTATTATTTGTAATTTAAAAATAGTGTGACACAATGTTGTGTGATAAAAACTGACGTCGAGACACAAAAAGAAGCGTGAAGGGTTGAAAGTAACAAGATGCAGAAGAATGAGAGATTTAAAGAACAATTGTTCATGTCGTTCACGCATCCAGTGAAATTTCATATATGGATTTCTTTGACACTAAAACCACCAGCCGATATCAGATTTTTTATTCTCTCTTTTTTTTTTTAATTAAAACATACAAGTTCTTTGAATAATATAATAATTGAAGGGAATTTTTATTTCTTCAAAAAGATCCTTTCAAAGCGTTTAATCTGGAAAGTAGTTGCATCCCGCTATTCTAGGATTTTTGAAGATATTTTCAAGAGTTCAGAACAGGAAAGAAGACAGTGAAATTTATTAGGAAGTATGTATTGTTTTTTGTTTGAATTTCTGTACTTGCCCGAGTCCCTCAGAATCTACCACCATGAAGGGATTAACACGAAGAAATGCTGTATACAACATGTGGTCTTTGATCTTCTCTAAATAGGATCGAGTTACGTTTCTGATGTTCAGGATTGGTCGGATTATCGATATTGCTCGCAAGCTTCTGTAAATTAATTTATCACGGAAGTGACTCTGTTTTATATCCTCGGAATGATTGGCAAGCCGTCACGGAGACTATCAATGAAATTTTCTTACCCGTGTCATGTGTAATTGAGAGTTTAAATTGCGCCGCACAACAATATCGTAGATATTCAAATGTTTAATATCGAACAGCTACTTAATTTTGAAACAAAAATTGAAAAATCTGCTTTCAACTAATTTAATATTTTTATTCTTCTCTTGTGTATAGGTTACGAGCCAAGTAATATATTTAATATATTTTTCAGAATATATTTTTGATATATTTTTCAGAATTTTCGCAATAATGAATCATTACAATATATAGAGTAGATAATATTTGCTTTAACGATAAATTAATACGGCCATTCGATCGTTGCGATTGGTTTTCGAACCTAGCACAAAATCAAACGCAAAAGCAACGTCGCTTTAACGCCTGATCAATTTAATAAATTAATCAATATTTATCAGGCTGCGCGGCCGTTTTAATCATTTATTCATAAAGTCGGGCATTATGTGTAATGAGCAATAAGTCACTCAGCCCATAATATATACAGATTTATGTAACATTGTACTTTTGTAAATTATGAAGCGATCAAACGATAAATCTAGTAAAAGCAGTCTACAATTTTAGAACATTGTGTCCTCTTTACAAGATCATCTGAAATTTCAAATAGCCTAAAGAGAAGAGAGAGAGAAGAGAGAGAGAGAGAGAGAGAGAGAGAGAGAGAGAGAGAGAGGAAAAGAATTTGCTATGCCAATTGATCGAATTCCTGTTTGGTCTGTCGAGTACGGAAGCATTCTACTACAAGTTCAAGACCAGCATTCGAAAGACTGTTGAAGCTCTTTGTTTCGCATATAAATGTTTAAGATATTTCGTTTTATCTCCGTAGCTACGTGAAAGAATAACGTTTAAACATCTTGGGTTTGGATTCTGTTATTCCACGGTTTAGCATACACCGGTGTCTATCTGTGCATATACATTCTCCTATTGTTCAAAGGAAGTTCGTGCTGCAAATATAATTATTTGAACATTCAATCTCAACTTCAAAAATTAGGTTTCTAGTTGAAATTACCAATCGAACTGAATCACCTCTTGTTACAGAAGAAACAGGTGTTTTCCAAATGAATTGGTATTAAATTAATATTAAGATTCAAATCTAGCCCAAAATGAACAATCATTTGAAAATAATTCATTTTAACTGTAATGAAATAACTAAAATATTATACAAACTAATTAATTTATACAAAGTAAAACTGAATAATTTATTTTAATATCTCTACCATTGCGAAATAAATTTTTTTATTCTCATTCGAAAGCCTGCTGGCCCACATTTGGTGGCGATAGTAATTTAAATTACTCTCGAACGGAATCTTCCCAGAAATAAAGCCTCCAGTGCAATTTTATTATTGTCCTAGGTTTCCTACGAATTTGAACCACGAAGTATCAATTGGTACCAAGAATTTAGATAGGATCGCGATACGTCTGCCGCTCTTTCCCCTCCGATAATTATTTTGGTGGCCAAATTATTATTAACGTTATCCACGTGTCGGAGTTTCGCAACGCAGCCTGCGAAGCTAGCCAGAGAACAAAGACGCATTTCCTTTCGTGAAAACGCGAGAACGATACTCGAAACGAAATAGCCGTCGCACACCGACCGCCACACATCTGAATTCATTTCGCGCATCCGCGGCCACGAAAGTAATACGTGTCGGGTCTAAAGTTCAGCCGAACAGTAACAGGCTCTCTACCGGCCGTGAATCACGAAAAAATCGTCGCTCATCGCGTTAGGTGACGCCAGTACGCTCGACGCGCGATAAAAATGAATGTCCGCAAAGTTGCGAAATTTATAAATCAATCTCTCTCTCTCTCTCTCTCTCTCTTTCTCTTTCTCTTGGATAAGTAAGAAATAGCCACCGCACTTAAGGTTAACCTCTCGCGCCGGAATCATGTGCCACGCACGTCGAGAATTTTTTGCTCCAAAATTGTAATATCTTTCCAGTCTTAAGTATATTTAAAGTAAAACGAAAATAAAAGGCAAAACAAACAATAAATTCATTGCTTCTCAATGATTTTTAATATCCATTGATACATCGTATGATACATCGACGAGTTCAAGAAGAAAGCGATGAATTATTGTGTACGGTGTTGGCCACTCGTTACGGTCCGCAATCAGTTGCCAGCCGCAAGTGGCCAAGACACGCGCTTGCGATTCAACGTTCTCCGAATTATTTACAACAATCTGTCGGAAGTTGTTCATTAAACAATAGGCCGACACGGGGATTTTTATTGGGAAATAAATTGCGTGATTTATTGTCTATTAATCTGAGTAGGATGGACGATGCGAGAATATAGTTTTATAGAATGAAATTAAACAGAGTTATAGGTTTCAACTTGTTCTTCTCGGGTCCAAGTTAGTCGAAATGAGTTGATCCGTTTTTAGTAAATACTTCAAAGTGTAGATAGTTTCTTTTAGATATTTAGATCTCGGTATTTATTTCGTGCTTCCTCGTGAACGAAGAATTTTAGAATTTGAATGGAAACTATCCGACGGGAATTTCAAAAGTTTTTAAAAATTGAAGTAGAAAAAGAGAGACAGATTTACCACACGTTCCATCTCTCTCCGTTAAGACGTAGCAAAGCTGAGCAACGTTTATCGAGTGATAAATTTCGAAGGATGTAAATGTAGAATTTAATTGCGTTAAATTATATCAAAGAAAATGCAATAGTAGAAGACAGTAGAAAGCTCACTTTTATTTCTCACACTGTTGTACCTGTTACCTTTTACTTTACTTCTACATTACTTTTACTTATAGTATCCTACAAGTAGATGAGCAAAAGGCAAATTCGATTCATAAGACGTAGACGATAAAGATTGGTTACAAGAGTAGAAAATAAGAAAAATGCAGACCCATTGTAAACCGGAAGCCATCCTAAGCCATAAATAAATAATAATTGCGTTAAATTGATAAGGACGTAGGGACATTCACCTAATTAAAGAAGGAGATTTGTACTGCAAGAGTGACTGATACACACCACGTTCTACCGAAAAAAATAGGTGATATTTTCACGGTTGGAACGCGCATGCGTGGAATGCACACGCGTACGTTGAACACAACGCGCATTCGGCTATGACCGCACGCGCTCGCGCGCGCACGCAGTCGTATTTACGAAGGCACACACGCAGAAATCACGTGTAAGTAGCAGTCGACTTTGTGAATTCTTAAAACGGAGAGACTCCTATCATCGAGGAAATATCGACGGGAACGCAATCTAACGTCAACATCATTGCCGAAGTACACGGTATCGTTACGTTTTCCGAGTGTAATCACACGGTCAAAGTACACTCAACCATCGCGTCGCGCTCTACATTTATCATCCACCGTAAAAATGTTGGAAACGATATTACTAAATGTAAAACTGTCGGACGAATTTCCAACGAAAAACAACGAGATCCCGCGAGATTTTTCGCAGTATTCGCGTATTTCACGAGCGTGCCATACGTGCTTTTGAAACAAGTGTAAGGGACAGACACGGATGACCGCCATTGCCGAAATATGTTACAGCATTCAAACGAGAGGAACGCTCGCGTTACGACGAATGTGAAATGCGTCGTGAAGCATCAAACAGCGTAGGCTTCTCGCACGAGGCGAGATCTAACGAAGCGTGTTTCAATTTATCGACAAGAGTCAAGTAGTCGCTGCCATCCCAGTTTGGGAATATAGTAGGGGAAAAACAAAAAAAAAAAGAAGGAACGAGCGTGCGCGCAATTGACGGAACGAGGCCGTGAAAACCGGGAAAAAACGAAAATCCGCGCTGACAAAGAAAAGCTTACCTTTGAACGTATTCCGGACGAGAGTCATGCTCATATTCGCGTGAGCGCGAGCCAATGCTCCCCGTGGTACGTCTTGCGTTTCTTCGACGATTCCGCCAGGTTGAATGGTTCGGCGAGAGCCGCGGCGTGTGTTGCGATCCCGTTCAGGAGTTCGTCCAGCGCGATCTGTGACGTTTCAAGGTACAGCGGCGACACATGGTTATACTCTTCTTCCCCGTTTCCTCGTCGGTTCGTTCGACGTGTAACGATAACGCGCCGCCGGTACGAAGTGACGATGATAGCCGATGATAGTTGCAGCGTCGAGGAGCATAGAGACCGATACGAAATGGCAATGGGCCTCGTTCTGTTGCCCGCGTTCGTGCAACAGTTTAATCGGCCGCGACGGAGAAAAATGGCCAGGCCGCGTTGCGTTGCGTTGCGTCGCGTCGCGTCGCGTGCGTTCGTCACGACTGCTCCAAGCGTTAATTCACATCCACCAGCAACGTTCCAGCGCGCGGCTGCTCGACATCTGTTTCTCATTCCATTCTTCTCGTCTGATGATAAATTATCGATTATCTTCGATCGTGGACAAGATTTTGATCGTCAACGAGGCGATTGGTACGGAGATCCGGCAATACACGACTCCAGCACTCGACGCGGCCGCGATCATTAAAAGCGGCCGTGTGTCACTCGCGCGCACCACAACGAGTTCAACGAAACACGGGAATGTTGATCACGTTTCTTCTTCTCTTCTCGATGTGAAATAGACGAATGGGGAAGAGTCAAGTGCCGGACACGCACACGGAAGGGGGGTGGGGAGGGGGGGGGGGAGACGTAGCAGAAGGAACGACAGAATGATAACAGGGACAGAGAGGTGAGAGGTGGTAAGAAGAGAGAGCGGTCCCAAGAGGCGAGGAAAAGAGAGAGGTTATGTGCAGACGACGACAGGAGAAATTCCAGCGGGCGGCAGGCGCGCCGAGGTCCACGGAGTACAGTTCGCGTCCGTTCCTTCGTTCCCCTCGTCCGATAAGTGACGATTCCACGACGATGATTCGAGAGGACCGATTGGGTGGGACAGGCGTTTCAGCCTCGTTGAATCTTCGACGTCCCGTTTCGCCGCCGTGTATGACGATCACCAGTGTATCTTGTGAGCCTTTCCGCTGGATTTCTTCGAACCGCGGCGAAAGAACAACACGAATATACACGGGGGTAATGAAATTTCCTTTATAATTCCCTTACGTCACAAGGTAATACGCATGGTATCATTCATTCGTCTTTTAGAGGCGGCGTTCGACTCGGATCCACACAAAGAACCTCCCTCCGACGATCACCCGCCGGTTTTCTCTGCGTTGCTGCTGCGTATCTTCTTCCGATGGTTGTTTGAAGGATCGCTCGACGTCTCGAGGTGCGTATCCGAGTATGAGTATATGTCGAGGAACGTATTTAAGGTATGGGTGCGATGCACTGCGACGGCTTCTCAATTAATCACACTATGTATCTCTCTCTCTCTCTCTTTCTCTCTCTCTCTCTCTCTCTCTCTCACTCTCGCTAACTCTTTCTCTCTTTCTCTCTGACGAACAAGGATAAACGAAAAGAACGACGAAAGACGAACGTAGGAAGACAGCGCGCACCGGTTATATCCTTGGGAGCGATTCGTGCGGAAAGCGATACGCTGTTCTTCTTCTGCCACCACCTCCACCTCCGCCGCCTTCTCCTTTTCCACCGATTCTTTTCATTCGCGTACGCATACACGTTTTCCCACGCACCGAGGCAAAAGAAACCACACACTTACGGAGAGAGAGGCCGGAGGGAAAGAATAGCGAGGGAGAAAGACGGAGAAGAAGAAAAGGAACGAGGGAAGAGCGCGACGGTGATCGGGAAACTGATGCTAGGGCATCGCAGAGAGCGGGCAAGGCAGAAATGTCGGTGTTACTACCAGCTTGGAGTAGCAAGCACCGGTAAAACACGGTCCTAACTAACACACATGGAGACAGATTGGGGACTGCTGCTCCGGAGTTTACTATAGGATGGGACGGATGGTGATGGCGGCCGTAGCGGAGCAGCCACCGCCCCCATGCTTCTTCTCTCTCTCTTTTCGTCTCCCCTGTCTCGTTCGACCGCCGCCCCCACTACCGTCTACCCCGCTGCCGATTCCCACCACTTCTCCGCTGCCAACCCTCCCCCTCTCCCTCCCACGACCCCGTAACCGTTCCAACCGTACTCCTATTCTCCCCTCTATGCGTTATGATGGACACGCTGGAACCCCCCACCACTCTGTACAACTTACCCCCTTTCTCTCCCACTACTCTCTTCTACGCCCGTTTCTCTCCACCACATTTCCTCCTCTTCCTCTTACTCTACACACACACACACACACACATACACACATGTACACGCAGGTCTCCGCTCTTCCCTGGGCTACGAGATGTTATCCTCGAGCGACTCGTGCGTACTATATATATGTATTTGTCGCCACATCCCCTACCTGCGTTGGCCGCAATCAAGGTCAGGAGCGTAACCGATCGGCGCCCCGCGCTATCGATTCCACGCATCGTCGTGGTTTCATCACGACGACCACGACGACGACGACGACGACGACGACGACGACGACGACACAAAGGGAATAGCCAGAGGGAATTTGTACTTGCACAGCCGATTTATGGATCGCGGCGGAGATTCGTTATCGCGACGCATTCGTTCACCGGAAACCTGGTATCTTTTGGCTCATTGGCTCACGGACGTGATTGCCTCGTTATTTATCTGACGAAAGGAAGGATGCGCGTTGCGCCGATATTGTATTTACATCTATATACACCACATCCTCTGTTCGCGCATCCTCCAAGATGTGTGTACTTTGTTGAAACGCCGCTCGAATGGGGTGTGTAAATCTGCGGGAAACGTTGCCATCGAGTATATTCATGTCCAATAAATTCCCGCCGGCAATATCAACCGAGGAAAATCGGCTCGTTCGTGCAAGACGAAGGCGACGACGAAACGACGAGACGGTATTTGTCTCGAGCTGCTTCTTCTTCTTCTCCTTTTCTTTTCCCCTCGGATCTCGTTTTTATCGAAAGCTGATTTCTTTCTAATTTGTCGATGAAAAAAATTCAATATCGTTTCGCGATATGTTTATACATATGTCATAGTACGAGATACGTACATACATATTTTGCAACCACGTCGAATACCTCGAACTCTCTCGGGAAGGAGGGACACCGAGATAACCGCGTTCGGCGCAGCGCGTGGCTGTGTTATCTTCGTCGATTCCCTTGACTTTTCACCGCCCCGTGAAGGGTGTAATACGTTTCAAACGTAGACAAGACGCTCTTATTCGCGACGCGGCCTACGTAACGACGTTGCATCCGCATCGACGAAACTTTCCACTCGACCTCCTCGTCTCCTTGTCCTAGCAAGAATAGTTTAACGATAAACAGTTCCATCGCCGCGAAACCGGCACGTCACAGCGGCACGAAAAAAGTATCTGGTCCCAATACGTATATATTTTACATATATTTCTACAGTTTCATTTCCATCGTATAAAATATATATATATATATAAAGAAGTTTGTCAGTACGTTGATGCAAATACTTTTCGAAACCTTCTGTACAACCTTCGACCGATGTTGTACTTATTAACAACCCTGCAAACATGTCAGGCTGCGATTGTTAAACCGATGACGATCGATTTATGAAATAGAAATCGGTATGTTCGTCTCTAGCCTTCGTTTCCGGGGCCAAACGTCAGATAAACGTGCGCGCCGCAAGAAAGAGAGGACGCAGGAAAGCCCTCTTCCCTCCTCTCTCTCTCGGGTTAACCCGCTCTTGGGCTCTTGGTCCAACTACAAGGTAGCTTATCGTCGGCAACTGCACGATATTGACGGCTAATGCGTACGTACAGCCGCGACGAAAGCAGAGACGGCAAACCAGTGGCGGCAGTGTCCGATACTATTATTAGTGTGCAGCTGCCTGGCGAATTACTGAATGAAAGGGAAGGACCGCACTTCGAAACAATATCCGAAAGAGACGGGAGGCACGCCACATCGTTTAAAGCCAACCGACGACGGCCATCCACACGATTATTTAGAGCCAGATACTATACACACATACACACACACACACACGCGCGCACGCGCGCGCGATATTTACGTATGCGTGCGCGGCCATCCAACGAAGGCGTATAATAATCGACGCGAACCGATTGATTTGTAAATCAATGCCTGTTATTCCTTTCATAGAACGGAATTCAGTCGGACCTTGAATATTTCATGAATCGATCGGGGCATGAAAGTTTCATAGAGAAAACTTATTGTTCGAACGGAGCCAAGGTAGAAATGACCGTGATACGTGCACGTTATATTATTCTGAAAGTCATCTATCGCACGTTCGAACGCGCGTTCTCTCTCGTATCGGGTTACGAGAGAGAAGTACAATTATTTAGCGTCACGTCGAGAGCGAGAGCGAAAGGTTAGAACACCGAGTCCGCGCACACCACAGTCGCGAGCGCGCCAACGTTGATTCACACACGAGCAGCGAATTGTTCGTGAAAATTAATTTGTGAGATGGTCATACGTCTATTTCAGTCTCGAGTCACATGGAAGAATAAACACGTACCGTGCGTGTCGCGCGTACATCTCGCGCTCGAGACGAATCGGAGCGAAATGTTCTCAATGAACAATTCTTTTCTCGTACAGCGTCCACGTTGTTTCTCGTCTGCTATAATTTTGCGTCAGGAAAATTCATTTCCCTTACTCCTCTCTCTTGAGTAACGTGAAAATGTCTTGCGAAAGAAAAGAAAAGAAAAAAAAAAAAAAAAGAAAAATGAGGATGTAGCACGCGACAGAAGAGTACGAGCGAAAAACGGATCATTGTACACAATTTTTCTGGTGTTCCAGCGTTAAACGAGAAGCGTCGGACTGCGATCGTTCAAACCAGCGAAAGCATAGCCGGGACCATCTCCATTCAACGAGTACTGGCAATTAGAGCCAATAGTTTGCCGACCCCTTCTCCCAAAGGTCTCGTCTCGAGGTGTTGAATTTCTTGGTATTTCACCAGTCGGGCCAGCATTCTCGACAGAACGCTCTAAATCAGCAAGAACACTTCCTTCAATCGTCGGTCTCACCCCCACACGACGTTTCGAAAACCTCGAGAAATTATCCACCGCTTCGATCAACCCGCTCCAAAGTTTCTCTTTACAACGTACAGTTGCTACGAGAGATACTTGCAACAACATTTGCGTGCCAACCCAACGTATTTAACCCCTGGTTCGCGGACCATAACGAGTGACCGTACCGTGTACAACACTTCGTCGCTCTCTTCTTCTCTCGAGCTCGTCGGTATGATATCACTGGATAGAAATTGTTATCCAAGTAATAAATTTATCATTTGTCTCGCCTGATTTACACTTAAATATATTTAAAACGAATGAGAGAATGTTTCAACTTTGGGATAAAAAAATCTTCCACGTGCGTTATTCCAGCGCAAGAGGTTAAATCTTCATCGATACTATTGGCGGGGGAGGTTTTCTGGACGTTTCGCCGGGGGTGTGTTATTTCTATCAATTTCGAGAATTTTCTTTTGCAAGTGAAACCGGTGCTGCATTATATGAATATTTCCGGTTTTCTTGAAAGTCTCGAACGCGAAGTTTGTTGCCACTCCGTTTAATCTTTGTCTCATTTAACGCGCCCGTGGTTACAATACGCGTTTTACAATACAATTGCAACAGTTATACAATTCCACAAACATTCGAAACACTACCGAAGACTTGCTTCATCTTTGTAATCTCGAGGGGAGAACGAAATTTCAAAATTCTTACAACTTCTTGTCAACTTCAGTACTTTCATGCACCGTCGTAGAGAGAGAGGTAGCACGTGGGATGTCAAAGATTCTCGGTCGAGAGAGTGCAAAATGAATTGTCATTGCTCCGGTGGTGTGAGAGAAGCGAGGAGAGGGTGGGATCGCCCTCGGTGGATACGGCACTGCGCGATCTCCGGCGTGGCGGGTCCAGCAATGACGCGGAGATCACCGAGCGTGTCCGAATTCGGCCGACGTTGATCGAGTGGGAGTCGAGCGTGGCCGGTGGTGGGGGGTGGCTCGTCTCCTCGCGAAAGGGGAATTCCCCGATGCCGGTGCGGTGCGGTGACCACACCGTGTCCCTTTTTGTTGCCGCCCATTAGGCGCCACCGCGGCGTGATTCGCAACCGTGTTTCTTTATCTTCGCCGTAGCCAAGCTAGACCTCTCTGCGAGAACGCGACCGACTGCACGCGCGTTCTTGCCTATCTTTCCACCCTTCTCTCTCTCTTTCTCTCTCTCTCTTTCTCTCTTCCTTTTCTTTTTTTCTCCCTGTCCTTCTCTTCCTCCCTTCGGACAATAGTGGAGAATGATTCACCGTAGGTGAATACAGGCGT